TTGAAGAATGGCAAAAGGCGAAAGTAATTTCATTATTTAAAAATGGGGGGGAAGGAACTGTAGCAACTATACAGGTATTAGTTTGCTATAGAATATTAGCAAAAATTTTTAATAAAAGACTTGTTAGTATCTCTGAAATTTTCAATATAAAAGAACAAAATGGTTTTAGAAAAGGACGCTCTATTACAGATAATACCATCCGATTTTACCATCCGACAACTAATAGAAAAGCGTAGGGAATTTAATCTAGAAACACATTCATAACCTTCGTTGGTTATGAAAAGGCTTGCGATAAATTCAAACGCTCTACTTTATGTAAAAGTATGGGAAGAAGAGGCTACCCACACCACTTAATCAATAACATTAAATCTCTGTATCAGAAAAACTCTGTTATTTATAACTAGAATAAATATACTCAAAAGGACTAAAAAAAACAAAAACCAAGGAGTTTGCCAAGAACAAAATCAGCCTAGGAATTAAACTTAAAAATGAAGTATACTTAAATTCACTCCTATTTGCTGATGATCAAATTATAATCCAAGAAAGTCAGGATAACTTACAGAGGTCTATTCATCAATTAAACCAAACTTGCAAAGAATATAATCTAATCATTTCAAAAACAAAGACCAAAACAATGTCATTCGTAGGAAAGCATATCCTGTACGCACCAAAATAATTTTGGAAAATACGATGCTGGAAAAAATTAGCCATTTTAAACATTTGGGCTACGACATAACGCTCTTCACAGAAATGGATAGGGATGAAAAAAATCATAAATACCAGAATATATGCGGAAACATTCGGCGAACTCTTAAAGATAACAACGTAGAGATACCTGGATGTATAAGGTAACGGCTATCCCGTCACTGCTGTTCGGAAGTGAATGCTTGACTCCGAGGGAGAAAGATAAATAGTCGTATATACAGTATATCGTCGTATATAATAGTATATACAGTCTGCTGAAATGACTGTATAAACTAGAACTAGATAAACTCAGAAATGAGGAAATTCGAAAAGAATTAAACATTCAAGCAATCAGTGACAAGGTACAATATTCCAGACAGAAATGGTTACACAAGTTGAAAGAATGGAAGAGACTCGCATTCCAAAGCAGGTGTTTAAGTATAGGGGTTGTGGTGCCTTATCGTTGGCATTTCTAATGAAATAATTATAAACGTTGTCATTGCCAACAATGCCAACCCCGCGTAGTCGTTTTTGTGGATTCCATTCAGCGGGTAAGGAATGGCTCAACTTACATTTCTATGTTTTCTGTTACAAATTTGACATGTTCTAATTATATTTCATTCACTTTCCTTTAGTATTAAATGACTTACCCCCCCCCCCACTTTTTTCTTTCTTCCAGTTCCTAGAATGTTAAAAATATTTTTCAAAAAAATTGTAAATTATTAGTAACCTTTATTATAATTTTGTTGTAAAATCAAAAGAATATTCACGTTTTAATGTTTTGTTTTTTTCTTCTTGTACTAGACAACTGATGATGATGGCTAAGCCATCGAAATCTGCTCCTGTAATAAATACTATTGTTGGCAATGACAACGTTTATAATTATTTCGTTTAAGTATAGGACTCAAGGCAGACGAAAGCCAGGTAGACCTTTAAAAAGATGGAATTCTTAGAAGCTGGAACAGGTCATAAACCTGTCATTGATGTGGAGAAGAAGAAGATGTAATAAGGGACGGTAAAAATATATTGCCAGTCTCATTTTCGAGTATTGCTGTTTTTTTTCGAAAATAGCCAAAAATGCAAAACTACAAAATTGAAGATAGAGATTTTTGCCTCTGACAAAGTATGTTACAATATTAGCTCTTTAAAAATGGTCATGTACAATTTTTCGTAAAAGTTAGTAGTTTTCGCGTAATTTTTGTTTGAAATTAATGAAACATTTGGGCGTCCCGTCATACATAACGATAACATTGTAATATTGCCAGAAGGTATGTGCTGTAGCAACACTAGTTTATTTATATTTCCTATTATGATCATATGTTTTCAAGGATTTTCGTATTTTCGTCATGTTCTCTCATTTTGATTCCATTTTCTTATACTTACTTGCCGTCGTCTCAAAAACATTTTTCGCATCTTCTAATTCAAACGTTGTTGGTGGTGGTTTAAAGAGAGACAGAGCATCTCATTTCCTGTGAAACTGGTTGGAACTAGCACACAACAATTGCTGTTACCTTGCATTAGCAATGAATCTGGTGTGGCCTGAAGGAGTGAACAGAGAAAATTTTCTACTTCTAATCACTGATGCAGCCCCTGATATGGTGAAAGCTGGCAAGGTTTGCAGCTACTCTTCCCTGAAATGGTACATATGACATGCATTGCACATGCACTACGGAAGAAATTCGTGGAAATTACCCTGAGGTAGATAAGTTAATTTCTTCAGTGAAGAAAATATTCGTCAAAGCTTCAATATTAGTGCAAAAATTCAAGGAAATGGTTCCTTCGATTCCATTGCCTCTCCAACCCATTATTACACGTTGGGGCACTTGGCTTAACGACGCAAATTACGACATTACCCATTAAAAATCTATCGAAAGGGTTAACGCATTGAATGAAGGCAAAGCTGCCTCCTTAAAAGAAACGAGATTCTATTTTCAAGTTCCACATTGATCGGAGATCTCATATCAAAACCAGAACATTTTAGTCACATTTAAGGTCATATATTTAGATTATCCATAGCTCCGGAGATTTTCCTCAGAACTTTCACTGAAATTTTCGAAGATATTCCAAACATAAGAGTGTACATTGATGATCTTATTATATATTCAAAGACAAAGAAAGAACATGAAGAAACTTTGAATCGTGTTCTCAACAGAGCTAGAGAAAGAGTAGTAAGATTTAGTCCAAACAATATACAGTAGGGATGAAAACCTGTAGTAATCAGGTCAAGTACATGGGACATGTTATTTCTGTCGATGGTATTTAAGCTGACACAGACAAAGTGGAAGCAATAAAACAGATACCAACACCAAAGAATGTGGCGAAATACAGCAGATTTTGGGGAATTTTTACATATTTATCTAAGAATATACCCAATCTGTCTGGCATCAGTACTAATTTAAAACAATTAAAAAAAGATGTGCATTGGATGTGAACAGACGCCCACCAGAAAGAATTCATACAGTTCTCTCAACCAGTCTCGTTTCACAATTCTATGATGAAAAGAAACTGATAACTTTGTCGATAGATAGTTCAAAGGACGGAATGGGAGCAGTTTTCTCCAGGATGGGAAACCAGTAGCGTACACATCGAAATGTTTAAAAGATACACAACAACGCTATGCACAAATTGAAAAAGAAGTGCTATCCATAGTATTCGGGTGCCAACGTTTTCACCAATATCTTTACGGTCAAGAATTATCAGTAGAATCGGATCACAGACAATTAGAGTCAATCTTCAAAATGGATCTAAACAAAACGCCGATGTGACTACTACGCCTTCGTATCAGCTTGCAGCCATACCAATTTACAATAAAATACAAGTCTGGATCCCAGTTATACTTGGCGGATGCTCTATCAAGAGCCAGTTATGATGACAAAAATTTTTAAGTAAACGAAAATGACTTAGATGCGCAAGTTAACTCGATTTTATTTCACAATATTTCTCCAAAAATGTTCGAGAAAGTTCAAGAAGAAACAGCCAAAGACGAGGAATTACAGAACTTGATGACAGTAATTTTGTAAGGATGGCCAAATTCCAAAGGACAAGTAAATGGCGATATCAAGCCATACTGGTTTGATACATATACCATGCCATACAGAGATGAATTGGTTGTAGTCAAAGGAACTATCTACAGAAGAGATCGACTGGTAATTCTCAAAACCATGAGACGAGACCTGATAAATATATTGCAGTATAACATGGGAATTGAGAAAACAATTGTAAGGACAGTAAAAAATGTGTTTTGGCCTAATATTGACAAAGGAATTCAAGATTTGCACCATCACCATCCAATTTTTTTAAAACGCGAAAAACAGAGATGATCAAAGAGGCACTATCAATACACAATGTCCTTTCTCTGTAAAATGTTTAAGCACAAAAACGTCCGAAAATATCAACAAACTTGGAAATGTGTCGACTCGGATCTTTTTGCGATGTTTCTACAGCGTAGCATATAGTTGATAAGACCTACAAAACAACTTCACACGCACAATTTCACATGGCACGATTGGTAAGTAGGCAGCTGACGTTCCTTCGGGAATCATTCAATTTTTTGTGGTAATTTTACATTAGCAGAATATTTTGGCATCACCTCAAATTCGCAAAACGGGACCAGTATTATAAATCGTCATTAACGTGAATTCTAAAGGACGATAATTGGTGTTTGTGTTATCTGTTTTTCATCATTATTTTCTATCTTGTGTCTAACATTGCTTATTCACAGAATATCAACGTTGATTGAAAAGTAACAAACATGTTATTTTGATTTCATACATATTTTTTAACTCTTCCAACATGACCCCTTATTTGCATTCTAGTGTGACAATCATACATTTTCAGAGATTCTCAGATAATTGTGCTTTTAAAAATGCATATTCCAAAAGAATATATTATTATATTTACCTTACAAGTTATTAAAAGAAACCATGAATAGGCGAGTTGAATCATGACCGCAGAAGTGCGAACGTATAATTTACCAACAAGCACTTAATGGCCTTATAGCCACATGAATATATTATGTAAAAGATGTTTTATGTTAGCACATCACTTTTTTGACAGTTTCTAAATAGCATACTTCCATGATTACTGGTATTACATTCACTTTGTATATATACTTGTATCAAGACTTCAGCGGTTCTCTTCATTATAAAGAATATTGTAAGGATCCATTTAACTTATCTCTGAATATGCATATGAACAGCAAATAAAGATAATCAAATAAGGTAAAAAATTTTAATGCAGAAAAACACATGAGAATACCAAAAATAAATTTCCAGAAAAGAGTAAAGAGCACCATAGATATTCTGGTAATATTGATTGGATCCATCGTTGATTTTTGGCCAATCAGTACCACTGCTCACATGTTTAGTGTTGAATAAAAGTAGCAACCATGACTAAAACTAAACCCACAGATATTTTCAAAATTACAACTTGCACATACAATACTTTAAGAAATTCACTTTACCATAAGATATATTGCTTCCAGTAAAAAGAAAAAAAATTGATTGATGCAGAGCAAGACACTGAAATATCACTGAAAATAGTTCAGAAACATTTAATAGTCAACACAAGAATGTTGCAGAATACAATGTTGCAACATGATATGTTGGTATTTGATACTAAATGTAATGCTGATCATTGTTTTAGTGTTTTTTGTAGTTAAAAATCTTCATCCGTTCCACCAGAAAGAAGTAAAGTAAAATTAACAACATATTATTTAATTACAGTGTTTTGTTCACGATACATCATAAAGAATTACAATGTTTGTTAAAGATTACAAGATTTTCAGAATCATTAACATAGCACCAATTAAGTATTAATGTATTAGCTCATTATTTCAAATGGAAAATATAAGTAAAAAAAAAAAAAAAAAAAGTAACCACACTCAAGAGACAATTTTGTGCTAAGATATAGTAGTATATTTTTTACATCATTAAATATGATTTAGAATTGTTCTTAGGATATATTAACGAAACAAAATAATGGGTAAGTGTTTACAGAAAACTTAAATGAATTAAATACACAACTTTGCATTCATCTGACATTAACTCATATATCAAATACACTTCATGAATACTGAGTAACAAATACACCATCAATAATGCATTTTGAAAGTACATGCCAGTGTCTCATTTATGCAATTATAAAACCTGTATCCCATGCCACACATTTTACAGTCGCATACCTATTTAAGAATGAACATAAAGGCATATTCCATACCAACTACCATTCCCAACCATTTCCAAATTGTTTCACAATTCAGTTCCTAAACATGAGAATTATATACTCAAGATGCACTAGGCAAGCATTCATGTTTGAACACAATTTTTCCAGGTATCGAGATTTTGAAAAATTTAGCCTATAACACTTAAACAAACGACTAGTTATTTATTCATTCACATGGACCCTTAATTTCTCAATTGATTATAAAATGCAATTATGTTCAGTCTATGTTTACAACATACAACATAAGTCACAATTTTTACATTTTGTTTTAAGTAACAAACACAAATAAGACATAAAAGCAATGGAATGAGCACATAATATTAAAAGAATTAGAAATAATTTGTTGCTTCAATTATCAGCAAATAGTACAAAGAAAAGCACCAGCAGTAGTATATATAAGTACAATGTGTGTAAAAAATCTTTACACAGTACACAAGAAAATGAACACAAAGTAAATATAACCTACTAATCAAAAGTAAAATGTCATTTACTCATGTAACTGCAGTGCACACTCAAATAGCTGTTACTTCATTCTCAATGCAATGCTTTATGTTCATAGCAATCTTCCTTTAAGAACTAACATTGAGAAACACAAATTTTAATCTTTGCAGACATTTTATATATTTAGTACCATACAAACTTACACAAGCAATAACATTACAATGATAGTAATCAAAATCATGAAAAAAGCTAGTAACTAAGAAGAAAATAAAAATGCAATGATTCCTTAAAGACAAAATCACACAAATACACGAGTATGAATAAGTAGTATCTTGTACTATGTACATTTAGAGTCATTAGGCAATGTGATACTCATTCAAACAATGAATATATTAATTCATTAGCAAATAACATTAGTAAATGTCATCATATATTTTGGCCATGAAAATGCAGATTCACCCAAGTTCAAATCAATTCAGGCCAGGCAGATTGCAGCACCTACAAATTGTCACACCATATGTAAAACACTGCACAACTTTGCTGAAATTGCAGATCCTGCCATAGAATTTAATCAAGAAAATATCCCTTGATGCAATTCTAACTTAGCACCAAACACTTATCTTATATGTATCGCAGCAGAAACAATCTAATTGTAGATGCCCGACTAGCTTGCATGGAATTAACTTGAAATTATCTTATTTTGTACTATGATATAACCCGATATGAGATGAATAAAATTAAATAAATGCAATGATACCATCTAATCAAACAAATCAATTTCGGAAGTATAAATAAATTTTATACACAACACCAATGATTTTGTCTTTAAGAATGACTAAGAATGTAGAAAAATACAAAAATTCAGGTCTCCATTCATTTGTTCAGAATAGAATCATAATCTGGATAACCAGCTCTGAAAGACTTCAAGTACTGGGCATGTATAGTGGGTTCCAAATAACTAGCCTTCACAGCATCATCATCTTTCATTGCTTGTCGCCATTCCATCTGCAAAATAAAAGAGCAAAACAATAAAAATAAACCTACTATGGTAATCTAAGAGAAAATATTCCATTAACAAATAACAAAACATCATTCAAAATTAGACTTCGACCTCACACATAGTGGAGAACTTTCTCCAGGCGCAGAGCAAAATGAGCTTACATGTACATGCACAAAAACCTTGATAACAGAATTTTCATGTTTTATTAGTTATTACAGAATTCAGCTTACAATTATTGATTTCAGATTTATAGTGACTAGTTGTATTGACAATCTCATTGATTAGAATAATAATCAATACATTACAAAATTTATATAACACCAAACTCACAAAGAAAGCAATACTTGCTAGAAATTTTATCCCAGGACTTACCAATATTGATTAGATATCAAGTTCAATTCTTCAACTTCTTTAGTTAATACATTTCTTTCTGAATTTAAACTTAAATATGATTGGTTGTTTGGCATTGTACAATGATATATCATGACACGTGTTAGCACTTTTAATAGTCATATTATAATTTATGATAGGATTACTATTAAGTTGACTATAATCATTATCATTGTTAATTATTATTTTAAGGCTGAATTGATCTATTATGATGTTTATTATTAGAAAAGTTAAGGAGATTCCAGCAATCTATTGGTTATGAGCGGAGCATGACTTTCACTTGTTCTGAAACATCCCCACCACTTAAGTGTCACCAACCTAACAAGCACAAGGGTGATAAAGCATGCAAGGACGGAAATGCTTTAAGTAAAGTAAATAAGATGGGTTTACGTCAATTCATTTCAGAATTCAATAATGTTTGTGTGCCCCCTACAGGCTCTGCGACGTAAAGGAAGTTTTTCCCTGCCATGTAATTAATGTTAATTTGATAAACACAGTATCAAGATATTGTGCACAAGAAAAATAGTTTTAAGCACAGTTATTGGTGGGAACTGTCTCTTTCCACGACTTCAACTGTTAATCACAAAAATTTTACAAAGGAATAATTTGTAGTTCAAACAGTGAGTCTCATATAGAAAGGGCACTGCACTTCCGCCCGAACAAAGTTTAGTTTCACTACCCAGCCTAAAGCAGTCTGTTGCATCGACACAATTGCCAATAGCTGCATTACGCACGCACGCACAAATAATTGCAGACTAACATGGCAAAACAGCAAGTGAATTCAAAGGGTTGGTATCCTCAGTATTTGGCAAATAGTGGGAGTAAATTATGAACAAGTGAATTCAGCACTCCGCACATAACCAGCAGATCACTAGAATAACTTTAATATTGCACTAATAATACAGGTATGTACAATTTGAGCTAGGTTTTGATCAGGGGCATTATGAGAATTATCATTACAGTAAATAAATAAAATCTCTTTTCACATATTCTCTTGCTTTAAAACATTTTATCTCCCACACACCGTATAAAATATCCATAAATGATAGTTTTAAAAGTTATGAAAGTACATGTGTGTTCATCATATTTGATATTCAAAAATCTCGACTACTCAGGCTACGACTTTTTAATTACGAAAAGTGATAAATTTCTTCTCAATATCTTATGGTTATTCACATACTTTTTACAAACTACTGCAGATGCTGATGGTCTAGACACCACATGGGAACCCATGTTCTATTTAAAGCAGCTGAAGAACAAATAATCAATACAGTGCTTTCTCATTTAAAATGGGTTAATATTATATGAATAAAATCACTTGATAACCCACATATCTTTTGGAATCTTTGCAGCAAGTTTGGCATATTATAGGTGTACAAATGCATTACTGAGGCATTTGATAATTATGTTTCACTCTCAAAAATCTTTTAAGGTTTATATTTCAGAGAGTGTTATTGTCCAATTAGAAGTCAACATTAAATTAAAATAATTTATAAATTAAAAGTGCCCACAATAAACTGCACATTTAATAACCTTCTTACATTACAAAATGTTGAACTATCTAGCAAGTAGTTACTATTTAAAGATGTCAAACTTAATCTCTTGATGAAACATTAATTAAGCTTGTTTCTTTGAAGCAAAATTATTTAATGTCCTTTATAGTAACGAGCTGATATAACATCTGAACGCATCCTCCCAATCTTGTGACTTCAATACTATTACATTTTATGCACAAAGTATCCAAAATTAAATGTTTTTATTTTGGATACATCATAAAACTCTATGCTATCAATATGAATATCAAAATGAGCACAGGTCTCCAAGAACTCTCCTTGTGCCATACTGAATTTACAGGTAGAATTATAGCTTTCATTATATTTTCATGATCACATTCTCTAGGGGACTTCCTATACATGGACAAAGGTTACATTATTTTTATACTTATTCCTTTGGCGCTCTGTTAAGGACTCAATGGGATATTTATTCTTAATAAAAATGAACAAACCAAGATAAATATTTGTTATGAAGGAATGGATGGACGAATAGCATAATCCATGATCACACATCAGCATTAATTTTAATAATATTAAATATTCAGCAAGTTTTTCAGTATTTCCATTTTCTATTTAAACAATCTTTCAAGCAGTTCGAGAAAAGAATGGAAATTGTTTAACGTGAAATCCTCTTTGTACTGTATTTGACAATATTTGTAATTAAAACGGATACATTGGCACCCCCGATCTTCCATAAAATATTTCTATGAAACTGCTGATTAGATAATAGAAACTGACATAAATAACTGATTTATCATATGCATTACTTTTGCACAACAAAGACCATTAGCAGCATTAATGTACCATATTTACCTGAATATACGACAACCTCTTAATTTTGAAGAGGTCTCGTTAATTTAAAAAAAATATGTATAAAAAATTGAGTCTCACTACAGTAGAACCTCTGTAATTTGAACTAATTGGGCGGTAGTCTGTTCGAATTATTCGAAAAAATGTACCATATACAAATACATCTACAGGATTATCAGACAGTGCAACGCAGCATGCGATGTGAGAAATAGCAACGTAATGTAGGAATCGCCACATCACACAGATTCAGTTCCTTATAGCATAAGAAAATAATATATTTTGCAAGTTCCTCCAAGTAAAAATTACTGCAACATTAACATGTGATATACACTGTAGTGACATGTGCAATAAACGTTTCATTTCTACAACTTCAATAATTAGTTGTTCAGTTCTACCCCAATTACACAATTCTTTCTATACACTACAATTTAGAATTTTATTTTTCCTTCATCCCAAACTTTGTTCGGATTATCCGAAATTGTGGATTTCAGGATAATCAGAAATTAACAGGATTTGCGGGGTTCAGATTGGCGAGATTCTACTGTATTTGGTCAAAATAAAATTGGAAATGGTCTAATCGACTAGAAAACAGTTCTCTTGAGAATGTCAAAACTTAGTATCTCTTTTGTAATCATTTTCTTTTTCCTTACAATCATCAAAATCATGGCTTTTGTCCCTAACATCTTCCTCTTTACATAAATCATGCTCCTTTCTTTTTGGCCCTTCTCTCATACTTGCATCATCCTTCGACTTTTTAGGCTTATTTCCTTCTGTGTCCCCTTATTTTCTTCCAGGCCCACTCTTGTTTGTGACCTTAAGTTCTTTCAATACCTCTAACAAAACTGCAAACTTTTACACCTCTGTCTATCCATTTTGTAACACGGATAGTGCGACACTTCCAAGTTTGAGAAGCTTTTGGTAACAAAATATTCATTTATTATTTTGTCTCCAAGGTTGGATGCAGAATGCATACTTTGATCAATGTAATTTTTAATTATCCATTTCAATGCAAAACGCATATTCTCTTTCTAGAACATCTCTTATCAGCCCATTGAAAACTAATGGTCTGAATCACCTAGGAAATCCATGCTCCATTCGAACAATCATGGTCCAATCCAACAATACGTCAGCAAATACTATTAGGTACTATAGATACAAGAGATATCTATTGCCTTTGCAGCTTATTGTTACGCTCGAATTCGAGTTTATACTTGACACTGAAAAGCAGTGTAAAAATATAGCCGAGCTCCTTACCAACTCCACTTGATCTGGGAATCTATGACCCTGAATTTTTTGAATAAGATATTTAGGGACAAAAGACAAAAACAATAACCTTGTCTTATATTCCGGTAAATAGAGTAAAGTGATTTTTAACTCTCTAATTACAATGAGCTCAAGTTTTGTGATCTAAAGTTATGCAAAAAATCCGTAATTTTATCAGATTAAAAAAGCAAAAACAATAAAAGAGAATCATGAACAACAACTCATCACAAAGTGATGAGATAGACAAACAGAAAATGCATCGTAACAGACACCCTACTTTAGCCACGAAAAAAATGTATTCAATAAAAACAAAGATTTAGGAATATTTAGGGAAAGTTGTAACAGAACAGGGTTAACAAAACCTACAAAAAACCGCCACCTACACCAAAATATCTACAACAACATAAAACATATTGATGAAGAAGAACAAGGACATGAAAGACTGAAGTCGACAACTGGTAATATAGCTTTTTAAAATTAAAAAGTAGGTTGAATTTTGTAACTTTTTACAATTGCATAACCACCACAAAAACACACACTAGCTCTTCACTTCAATAGAATGTACCTGCTCTTCTAAAAATTACAGTACAGGTATATCCCATTACAAAATCCCGTAACTTAACAATACATCTATGATGATTTGCTGATATCTAATCAACACTTGCTGTATATATTAAACCTTACCAAACGTCTGAATCGTTCCTTCGGCAAAACAAATTTATCACCACCTACAATTTTAAGCATGTCAGCACGTTCACACCACGGCCAGATCATGTAATCAACCATGCCTGGTTTATCTCCTGTAAACAGATACACAACAGAAAAAGTACAATGAATGGTGATGGCAATTTGAATACAACAGACTAATCCAACTTATGTAAACACACTAGCACAAATATTTTCACAGCAGCGAATAATTAAAAAACAATTTACTACCTCCAAAGAACGGCTTTCCCCTCTTTACTAGTTCTGCCTCATAAACATCCAATCCCGCTAAGAAATCATCTAAATACTCTTCTGAGCTGGCATTGAATTTGCTTATTTTATACAAGGATCCAATCACCTAAATAAAATCAAACATTAAAATAGGTTACCAATTAAACCTTATATGCAATTGACCATTATAATTTAACTGAACATTGAACCTATAGGCCATTCCAACTTAACTGCAACTGACGTGACTTGACTACCCAGCAGCCCCTAGTGGGTACTGGGTGTTTTACCACAGTGTGCTCAATGCTCCTTAAGGAGTTACGAAGTGTTGCGTCTGTATAGGCGCAACAAATTAAAAAAACAAAAACTCATACACTAACCATTATTTCAACTCTGAATTTATAACTATTAGTAACACCTGCACTACCACAGAAATGTGAATGTAAGAAACACGCTAGTTTATCACTTTACAGGTATTTAGAATTAAATCGCTGTAATATAAGCCTAGCAAGAAAAGTATTTTCTTGCACTCATCACAATAAGATTTTCTAAGTACTAAAATTTATTAAGTATTTAAGATTAACACTCGTCAATATTACCATAATTTCATTTGTGTTAATGTCAAAAACTGCCAATAACCATTCTCCAGGCAAGCAATTTTTAAAGCATATCCACACAAGCAGAGCTAACTATAGTGCTTGCATGAAATTTAATATCAAAGCATTCTAAATAGACAGTAATATTTTAATGTTTTTCCACTTACAAGCATTAGTGGAAGGTCAGATAGAGATGCTATGGAAGAAACGCAGCAAAGTCACAAAATAATATGAAAACTTTTTACTTTATCATATAGGATTGTAAAGCAAACCTACAGTAGGTAAGACACTAGTTGCTCAGGTAAAGGTGAAGCTATGAATGCCTAATGGTGAATACTTATTTCATACACAAAGAAAACAAATGATATACATACCGAATGAAAATGTTCAATTAAAATTTTGTCTTTTGCTTTCTTAACCAAGTCCTTGGGATACAAAGGCCTGCCTTGATATTTTTCATCTAAAAAATCTGCTATCACCAAACTTTCATATAGTGTTTCACCATCGCATTCAATCACAGGAACTTTTCCCTGGGGGCTTTTGTCGTAAATCCACTCTGGTTTTTCTGTTAGATTTATGTACACCACATCATAACTGAAAACAAAGAACATGGTAAGATGTCTATCATATCAAGCATTTAACATACACAATATTTTGGGACGGGAAACACACAAAACAACTAATGCATTAAAGAAATAATAAAATAAAAAATTAATGAAAAACAACAAATTTAACATTATTCCAACACAAATATAAAACATGAAAACAACTATTACTTCATTGTGGAAAAACTTTAGCTGAAAGCAGTTCTGACATACATCATACTTGGTACACAATTTGAACACCCCATAATACAATCCAGAAAAGGTGCTTGTAATAATTAAAATAAAATTATAGCCATCACAGTTACCATAAACATTCTCCAATGAAAGATTCTTTTCCTGCTTCAATGCTTTTGCATGTAATATTTCAAACGTACTAAACAGAATTAATGGTGCAATTCAAGTAGTATTTGTTATTTTATAATGGTGCTGTGATATTCATTCAAATAATTTTTAATAATTTAAAAAATTGTGAAAATAATTTGGTAAGTGTTTAAGTTTTACTTCAAAATCAAATGGCCAGAACTCTTAAGACCAAGATAGCTCTCGCTGTCTTGTAAAGTTCGTGAAGAAAGATATAGCCGATTAAATGACGTTAGTATTTTCTAGATACAGTAACATTCAGCTACTTACTGTGTTAACATAATATTAAAAAATATATTACACACACTTATGTAAATCCATAAGAAGTATAGAATGTTTCTCTGCACAAGCATTTAGCAACAAAGCTAAATCATTCTTGAAAACAGTACAAATGAAATGATCGTCAATTGTAAATAGACAAAATAAGGCATGGTCATAAGGCACAAGGTATGAGCTACAAATAGAACTTTACAAAAGCCCAGAAGGTTGCAAATGGTTATTATTCATACCCTCCTAGGCATTGCAATAATAACAGTCATATCCTTGCTCCATGCTAATTCACTGGTCGAAAAAATTCCCAGGGGATTATTTTCATAAAACTAGGATTGTTTGAAAGATTTCAGTCAGAAATATAGCATTTATAAAGAAGGTCACCGTCAGGATTCACAATTAATCTATGCATAGACAACAACCATGTCAGAAAGGACCATGACAACATACAGAGAAAATGGACCATAGTACACGATACCAAATTATTTATTTATTTTTTTTGCAACTACTGAAAATAAACTTATTCGTAGCATTCAGTTTGTTTAGGGTTCAGATTTTTGAATTAAAATAAAATCCTGACAGTTTCAATTTACTTTTGAGAGATTAATGTTATTGTGTTTTCTTTTATCAACACACATTCATTACTTTTGTTTTACATTGCTTTGATACGATTATATTGGTTATAGATTTCATCAATAATATTATAATAATGTCTTAAGTTTTTGAATGATATCGAAAAAAATATTTTGTAGTACATTTCCTGGAGACAATTGTAATGTCTCACAATGTTTGTCATAAATAAATGGTGGACTTTTCTGATTAAAGAATCACCATGTTCAATTATCATTTCAAATGTTGAAAATTGCCTCAGCAAGGAGTACAAACCCAAAAACTGAAGAAACTGATTGACTACAAAACTGAATAATGCTGTGAAATGCATTTAACGCTGAATAACGCATTTCATGAATGTGACATCATTGCTTAATGTAATTATAGTAATTCTGAGGAATCGTTCAGCTTTGCCATTCATAATAGTACATCTCCTGGTGATGAATCACAAAAGCAAGTCAAATCTTTTAGATAAAACAAACAAAAAATAAAGTATTTTAATACAAAATTTAATTAATCTCCCACGTCAATGATGAACTAACCACATGATCTTGCACCCATCATACCATTTGGAAGCAACTTTCTCATTTCTGCATACTGAATAGCGTTAAAGATACCGAATTGATACTATTAACTCAGTTGATTGTACTATCGGTACTACAGCTACTTAACAAACATACACAAAATAAAAGCCCTTTTTAATTTTAAAACAACACAAATTCTGCTGTAATCGCTTCAGTAATCTTTACTGTAGGTTAAGTAATAACTAATGATATAATGAACCACAAAATAATAAATATTCTCACTTACGGAATCTTTTTGGCGTCCAGTACTAAGTGAACCCGTTGGGCATACGGGCAAAACCTCATGCTGTAAAGCCGCCACTTTCCCCTTTGCAAAGGGGGATTTGTGGATCCTGCAATGTCAACTTTCAAGTGTCAAACGATTCAACAAAACTCATTACATTCAAATAATACAAAACGTTTACTTACCAATACTCAGATGTTTAACGCTCATTGTTCAAGAATGTTCTTATAAAATATACAAATTCTCCTCTTAAACTGTTCTTTCAAACGTCAGCACCCGCAATTTCCACAACCACGAATGAATTACCAAACAATTCCACAGAATACTTAACCTGCCTGTTTGCTGCCTGTCGTGTCCCGAAAATTGCGGTGTTGTGGAAGCTCGACTGTCTTTGTTCTTTCCTTCAGTTGCTTTCTTTATCATGACGTAATGCGACAACTGCGCAAGCGCGCTCTTCGAAAGTTAACATCATTGGTTCGTGAGAGCGCGCCACTATGCGCCTTTATAAATAAATGTATACTTGTGTACAACTGTAGCGTTTACAGTGACATTTATAATGAAAGAATTTGTTATAGTGTACAAGCATGATATATTTTATAAATTTAATACAAAAATTATCAAAGATTTTTATACACATTTGAAGGATAAACATAAATATTAGGGACAATATTACAAGACCGACTTGTTGAAACTTTGAATGATGGATATCGTCTTATAAGGAGTACAAATGAAAGTTAAATAAAATGTAAAGTCAAAAAGATTTATTAACCTAATAAGTAGCTACGAAACTGAATAACGTTGTCATGACATTGCATTACACGAACGCGACATCACTGCTCAATTTACATGTGAATCTAGTTATTACGACTACCGCTAGAGGGCAGCTAAACGTATTTTCAATGGAATACAAACTTCATGTGAATAATTTAGCGTTCGCACGAGGTTGCTGTGCACTTGCCCACTCTCGACGACCGTTAAAGTGGAGCGAAAGCGTTTTTCTTAAATATTTAGTTCTTCATAAACTGGATGGCTTACCTTATATTATCTAGAAATTTCTAAAGAATTTTTGGTTTCATCCATACTAAAAAAGATTCAAACTCGAAATTGATTAGATTACTAAAGATATTTTACTTTCTCGCTACCACTTACGCAGTAATGTAACGTTTTGTAATGCTGCACGGCGAATTTTCGGCTGAAAATCTCTCATTATAGGGCCCTGGTAACGAAAAATTCGATAAATTCAGTTGTAAATTTCATTCCAGTTGTAAATTAAGAAGAAAAAAATACTGAAATATGTGGTGTTTTATATATAATTTTTAATGAAATATTGGTTAATCCTATATTGCCATGTATATTCATACACTAAATTTAGAATAATATAGGGTAGTATCTATTACAGAAAATATCCACTGGCGCTGACTGAACAATATACTAGCCTTTCATAAAGGGGTTATCTATTACTAATTACAAATATTACGAATTAAGTACTCCAAAAATGTCCTTGCACTCTCATTTTATTGGAAACATTCCGTGTTAAAAATACTCAAAATTCAGTTTACAATCTCTTGTTTTATTCTGAAGAGGAAGCAAATAAATAAAGCAGAGACATGGTGAGGTGCAATGTATGACGATGAAAAACATTGATTTCTAACTTCTCGAGAGGCACACTCCACTTACCATATTGATAAAAATATCAGTTTAATTTCCGAAATTTTTTCGTCGGGCGTGTATAGAGATTGCGAATATTGTTTGTGTTATTAAAGAGGAAATAGATACTGCTGGACCTCGTGGCTGGCCGCTGCCCAGCAAGGTTAACATGAGCGAATTGTGTGAGAGCGCTTTAAAAAAAGTTTCCGTGCAAAAAAGGAATGTTCAAGCGGGCGCCGAGTACGATTTCCTGGGCATTGATTTTGTCCGATATTTTACGGCTATGTATCTGCAGCACCGTCCAATTCTAACCATTTCCATAGCTGTCACCGTTAAAAAACAACAAGCCATGAAAATTATGGGTTGTCATTTAGGTGATCTTGATACTGATTAGGCTATCTATCTTGTATATTGTTGCGTTTTGTTTCGAGAGTTTGAATCGAGATACGTGTTCCCATTGTTGTGGATGTCATGATGCGAAAGAGTGAAGGATGGCTTTTGGTGTGTATCTATACATTCAGCGCAGGATGCTTCTGTAACAAATGATGTCCACCGAATGGGGGTGAGGGGTATGAGGAACGTAGGGGATGGCGCTGGACGGAGAGAGGGGTCAGAAGGGAGCACAGGACAGCAGCAAAATCCCGAGTGATGATGTATCGAGAAAGATCGATATTGGAGCGAGAGGTCGTTTGATACGAAGAGCAGGCGGCAGAACACAATGACGGGTTGATTCGTGCGGAAATGGCTAACTATACTGGATTCAGTTATATCCCAGGATCTACAGCGCGCGCTCGCACCATTACCCTCAAACGTGTGACACTGCCTGATGAACTATAGCACACTCACGCCTCTGAATCATAGTAAAATAAAAATTATAGCGTAAGCAATTGTCGTTAAACAATTCTTGGGTACCTCTTTCTGATTTAGAAACACAGTGTAGAAATGAAAGTGGTGAATAGGTCATGAAGAGAGTGTGTTCTTGTAATGGGTATAAAACACGTTTAAAACAGATTTGCATTAATCATGGACTGGATTCACAATGTTATGGTAGATATGTATGGTATTTTTCTTTCACTCCCCTTAAGGGGAGTGAAAGAAAAATCTATTGTTTACAATTTTGACGATAATGATTTTAATTTAACATTCTGTGCTTAATGTGGCATACAAATTTGGTATGAGATTCTGTAGTAGTATATGGTAAAATTGTACATATTTTATATAGTCTGATACTATTAACTGCTTAAATATTGTCATATGAAAGAATTGGGAAACGTCACTCGTGAGAAAACATGTTATTTATTTTCCCCTATTTTTAACTGACATTTTGTTCTCGTGATATATGAATTCAGTCTGTGCGAGGAGCAATTCAACAAGAAGGTGAGAGATGGCTGTAATATTTGTTAATGAGTATATCAGGTATGAAGAGGAAAGACGAAATACGAGAGAAATAAAAATCATAAAATCATAAGACTAAGAAAAAAAATGAAAATAGTAACACGGAGGTACATAAACTGAAAACGTGAATTTGCATTATATTCAATGTTTTCAACTTTTGATATGTAAACATTACATGTCATTACGTATTGAAATACGGATTACAATATTTTAAATCATGGTATCATGTATGAAGCAAACTTTTCGATTCCTGTTTTGTAAATATAACAAAAACTGTATTATAAGGTACCACCAACTTGTTCAACAATCTTATGGCATTATCATGTTATAGTTTCCAAAAACCATCTTTCATATATTAGATTCAAAGGTCAATATTCTGTATTTATTTCTCTCAGGCACAAATTAATGTAAGTAGAATAACTTCGAAGAATGAGTACTACGCGATCTCAAGTACACAGATTAAACAAATACTTAGCAGAACCACTACATCATCCAAGTGAGTAGACGTAACATTTCCCGAAGTTTCAAAAAGAAAGTTGAAAAGAAATTGAAGCGATTTTTTAGTACAAAATTGTTTAACAAAATTAAAATTGCCTATATTTCGCGTAAAAATAAATCGACAATTTCTCATATTTTTGAAAAATTGAACAACACCATCATGTTTACTTCCCGATCTGTCCTTAAATAATAGATTTGATTAAGAAAAAAATCTCTATCTTTAATATTGTAGTTGTAGGAAGGCGCCCCAAAAAATTGCACTTTTTCAACTTTCGAAAAATCTGGGATTTTAGCGCACATGAGACATACACCATTCTCTAAAAAGTCCTTTACGTGATCCGAGGATAATGTTAAGTCAAAAAATTTGGACCAATTTCTGAGAAAATTTTGAAAATGTTTTTGAGGATGCATGTAAAGCACTCTCAAAATCATAATACCTGTTTGAATCTCCCAAAGCCTCGCATTCATTCAGATCGATCGGAGAATATCAATTTTGGAGAAAGTAGGTTGAATGGTTTAGAGTTGACCACGGACAGACGTTTCGCAGGCAATAGATTTTTGGGTATCAAGGACCCTCAATGTATTCTAACTTGAACACGTGTTAGAGGAAATGATTTACTATAAACAGGAACAGAATTGGTCTGTTTATTCGTAACCATGGCCCGTTTTTCTGCCGAAATTTCACCGTTTTCTGGCTCACTATTACAATACTTTTTCTTCTTACAAAGTAAGTACGAGAAAGTAAAAATCGGAGTCGTTTTGAAAAAATAATTGTTTATATTGATTCTAAATTGCCTGTTTAATGCACAATTACGGAAAAATACTCATATTTTCGAAAAGTTTTTCTTACCAAATTTGGAGCCATTTTAGAGAAAATTTTGAAATAGTTGTAGAGGCTACATGTAAATTACCCCCAAAATCAAAATATCCGTTTAAAACACCCAACGCTTGGAGTGCGTTCAGATCGATTGGGAATATCAATTTTGGAGAACATCCTCTGATTAGGCGTTAGCCTTGAGCAGAGATGGACAGACAGACGTTTCAATTGAATTTTCAGTATCAAGGACCCACAAAACAAATTCTGGCTACTAGTTAGATGAAGCAATTTACTATATATAGCAAATCCATTTATCCACTTTTCGTTACGAGGGCTGACAATAGATAGCTTTTGTGGGAAAATCGACGTTTTCCCTGCAATATAATACTTTTTGCCCACCTCAGCATTATAATACTTTTTTTATACTGTGCAAGCACTACGTAAGAATGTAAAAACCATAGCTTCAATATTGTCTGGTGAAAAGACGCCCAAAGAAATTGAATTTTCTGAATTTTTACAAAAAATTGAATTCGTTTTTGTGAAATCTTGAAAATGTTCTAAAGGTTTTCGATCAGTACTCAAAAACTAATAATATCCGTTTGAAACTAGCAGGACGTTAAATTTGTTCAGATCGATCAAGGCAAATCAGTTTTGGAGAAAAAAAACCCATAAGCGTTGTGTCAAGAGACAGAATAACGGGCATACAGACGCTTTAGGTCAACGGAAGTTTCGGCATGAGAGACCCGGAAACGTGGATTGTGACTTCCGAGTATACGTTTACTGTTATATTTATACGTACAGGAACAAAATTTATTACCTTTTTTGATACCAGGACCTCACAGTTCGGTTTTTTTTCCAGATCTCGCCGGTTTCTGCCGTAGCATTGCAATACGCTCTCCTCATTACGTAAGTGTAAGTGTAACATTCAATATTGAAGTTGTACGAACACCGAAACAAATAATTTATTGCGATTAAAAAAAATTCAATTACAAAGTAATCAAACCTGCTCTATTTCAATTAAAGACATATGTTCTACTCTAGAAAACTGTAAAGATAAGTATTTTAGCCATTACTTGTAACATTTTGAAAATGTCGTTGAGGGGAGTGGAAAGTGACAT